TCCAAGCTGCATCTGGGACCCAGAGCTCCCCAACCTGCAGCTTTCCCACCCCCTGGGAAAGTTCAGGGCCTGTTCTTGCTGGGGAGCACCTGGGAGCTCAGCAGAGAGGGCAGCTCTGTCCCTGTCACCTGTGGGATGGGCAGCAGATCTCAGCAGGTCTCACTTGGCCTCTCGATGGCCTCTCATTCCTGTGACAGAACGGGGCCTGTGACCCTCATCCCCTGTGAGCAGGGAGAGGGACAGCAGCTCACAGCAACCTGTGGCTCAGCAGGACTGGACAGGACTGAGCTTCAGTTGGAGAAGGACTTTTCACAAGGGCCTGGAGTAGCAGGACACAGGGGAATGGCTTCCCACTGCCAGAGGGCAGGGTTAGATGGGACATCAGGGAGAAATCCTTCTCTGTGAGGGTGCTGAGACCCTGGCACAGGTGCCCAGAGCAGCTGTGGCTGCCCCTGGATCCCTGGCAGTGCCCAAGGCCAGGCTGGATGGGGCTGGAGCACCCTGGGGTAGTGGAAGGTGTCCCTGCCCAGGGCAGGGGGGATGGAACAAGATGAGCTGAAGGATCCCTTCCAAACCAAACCATTCTGTGATTCTATAAATTGGTAACTGTGCTCTTTAAAGGATGATCAATTTTTTCCCCTGAAGCGCCTCCAGTTGATGCTTTCCAGGTCTGCCAGGATCACCTTGACACTGGGAATTGCCTAGAGCAGGGAGTGCAGGACCTGTCTTCCTCATATTTCAGGCGTTTGGGTTGGAGTGGCATTTTCCCTGTCCTGGTCTCACTCTCCTGTTGAAGCCCTGGAGATCTGCTATCCATGACATCACGATTTTGTCTGCTACACTGGTCAGTTGCCATGGAAATGGATATGTCGTCGTAGCCCAGATTTATGGCATCCCTGCAGGATCAGCCAGGAGCAGATGGGCTATGAGGGAGTGAGATTTTATTGCAGCAAAACTACCCGAACAATTAGCAAATCTGGCTGGAAATAAACACAAAGCGACGTGGCAGCCCCGTGATCCCTGTGTGCTCTGCTCAGACAGCACAGCCATGTCCTCCCCTCAGCACCAGCACCCCTGGGCTGCTCCCACCTCCAGGCCAGACACTGCCAGGAATCAGAGACCCAGGGCTGCAGCAGGGCAGCCACGAGCCAGAAGTGCCCTGAGGTATGGTGTCGAGGTATTTATGGAATCAGAGAATCACAGAAGTTGGATCCCACAAGGATCATCAAGTCCAGCTCCTGGCTCTGCACAGGACAACCCTAAAAATCACACCATATGTGTTATAAACAATCTTGCACCTGCTATGGGAGGCTCCAAGAGGCCTCATAGCAAGTAACAAGTCACAGAAAACACCCTCAGTGTTGCATGGAAGGTTGCTGGAGCCACCTTCTAGACTTCTGTGGGAACAGTTTCTCCAGGGTGAAAAACTGTGTGTGAACAGACTCCAATCTGCCCACAAAACATGGCACGTCTGTGGGCAGGCACCAGTCCTGGAAAGCTCATGGAGGGAGCAGAAACCAATGCAAGGAACTGCCAGGGGCTCTCACAGACTTGGAATTTTTCAAATCAAGATAAGCCAGATGCCTTCCTGGAAGATGCTCCTTCCCTGGATGCAAGCTGCTGACCTCAACATGGAAATGGGCAGTGATTCATGGGCAGCAGGACTGCAGGATTAGTGCCCACTGCTGGTCCCAGCCCTTGGGAATGAGACACCAAAGATCAGCACAGGGCTGGCACAGAGGAGGTGACATGTTCCCCACACAGTGTTTCAGATCACAGTTACTAACACAGCCCCACCAGTTCCTCTCCTGCTTGGCTAAAATAAAACCAGCATGTAAAACAGGTCCCTGGTGGAGAGCTGCTTCCTTATGTTTCTGTCTGGAGAAGCTTTTCTGGTGTTTAGGAAAAGTGACAAACTTTGAAATCAACATCTGTAAAGGCTGAAAAAGCCCCTACCATTGATTAAAGCTCCACAAACCTGCCAGGACTAATAGAATTTGTGCAAAAACAATGACTTGAGCTTCCCAGGCCCATCCACCCTGTCAAACACACCCTGTGCCAACTCCAACAGGTCAGCAGAAATTTGGGCTCATTCCCCAAGGAGCAGCCCTGGGGGCCCTGCCTTCATCAAGCCACAGCTGGGGTGATCAGAAGGGGCCAACACTCTGCACTGGCTTCCTTTTTCCCCCCCAGCCATAATCCTGAGGGGAAACTGGGGAGAAATCTCTGCTCCTTCCCCTCTGCAGCCCTGCACTGTGCAGACTCCCGGATGCTCAGCGATGCTGGCGCCTGGCCCGCGGTGTCACCGCGCTGCAGGCAGGAGGGGGTGACACCGCTCTGCTTTCACCCCCTCGCCTCTGTTTAAAAAAGTTGTCAGCTCTTCCCAGATAAATTTAATTGGCCCCGTGCTCTGTGTCCTTCGGTATCTGGGTAGCTGGAGCTGCTGTGTCCCGGGAGGATTGGAGCAGGCCAACGATAAGGCACTCAAGGATCTCACTGTCAACAATACACGGAGTCCCCGCTGTAGCAGCTATTAGCTGCCTCTGATCTAAACCTCCAATTAAAGTGGTGATTAGGCCCAGTGAGGCATTCTCCGGCCATGAATTATTCATCTCCCTTCACAGTAACAGCACCAGGGGGGATTAGAATGAGAGCTGGTGAAAACAGAGGCATTTTAAGCAGGGTTTTAACCATATACAAGCAAACATTTATCTTTCAAATCTTTCATCTTTGCTGCTTCTGGAAATTAAAGCTCCCACACCCCATGCCTGCCCCTTCAGACCTGTGCTGTGGGTGGAGAGTGGGGACACACTGCTGAGGACACTGCTGGGGACACGGGCAGGATGGGCAGGGTCCAAGGACCCCACCTTTCTCCTGCCACACCAAGTGCCTGCAAGAGGGCAAGGGGAGCCCCGGGGTCTCTCCTCAGAGGCTCATGAATCACAGAATGGTTTGGAAGGACCTTAAAGCTCATTTCATTACACCCCCCGCCATGGGCAGGGACACCTTCTACTATCCCAGGGTGCTCCCAGCCCTGTCCAGCCTGGCCTTGGGCACTGCCAGGGATCCAGGGGCAGCCACAGCTGCTCTGGGCACCCAGAGAAGGGCCTCAGCACCCTCACATCCAAGAATTTCTTACTAATATCTGATCTAAACCTAAAGTTAATTGTGAAGCCATTCCCCCTTGTCTTGTCACTCCAGGCCCTTGTCCAAAGTCCCTCTCCATCTTCCTTGTAGGTCCTTTCAGGAACTGGAAGGCCACAATTAAGTCACCCCAAAGCCTTCTCTTCTCTGGGCTGAACAATGCCAATTCTCTCAGCAGAGCTGCTCCATCCCTCTGACCCTCCTGGTGCCTCCTCTGGGCTCACTCCGACAGGTCAGAGCATGTGCTGCTCCCTGTCCAGGCAGATGTCCCCTGTTCCCAGCCCACCATCAGCTGCCTCTGGGATCTCTGTGGTACCTGGTGACCTCCTACCCAGCCTCTAACAGGGCACTAGATCAAAAGCTTTTTCACAGCTCCAGTAAATTATGCCTCAGCTTCACCCATCTGCTTCCCAGCTGACACTTCCTGAAATAAATTAATCAAGCCTATTCAATTATAGCCTCATTTCTGAACGGCTTCTTGCTGATCCCCACCTTTGTGAGACACTTCTCTCCCCTCTGGGGGCTGCAGGAGCCCCTGGATGGGGCTGGAGTGACAGTGCCCAGCCCCTCTGCTCTGGCTGCACAAGAGGGTTTGTGCCCACGTCCCCTGCAGACCCCAGGATCCACAGGGATGATGCCTCAGGAGCCCTCAGGAGCACAGCCTCCAGCTCTGGGGCAGGAGCTGCCCTTCTTGGTGCCAGCCTGTGCACTGCCATGCTACTTGCAGTCTTATTCCTTTTCTCTTTTAGTCCTCTGGGAAATTTCTGGAGTCTCCACTCCTTTTCCCTCATGAAAATCAGTAAAAAGCAAATATAACCCAGGGACAGTGCAATGATCCCTGCCCTGTCACCCTGGGGTGTGGGGCTCACACACAGCTCGAGCTCCTGCAGATGGGAGTCTTGTTTTTCCTGCCTGCCTCCCTCTCCTGCCTGCTGGAGGGAGATAAATCTGGCTGAGGTGGGGTGAGGGAATGACAGTTACCCTGCAAAAGTAAAACAGAGTTTGTGTTTCAAGCTGTTCTCAGCCTGAGGAGTCAATGAGGGGGAGTTTTGGCTTCTCCTCTCCCTGTGCCACCCCTGCAGGACCCAGCTCCTGCATCCCATGGGATTGGGGTGCTGTGGGAAGCTGTGACACCCAGGACCCCCTCTGGGGTAACACCAGTTCCCCAGGAGGCTGCATATGGTGCCATGCCTGCACAGACAGCCTGTGGGGAGGCAGGTGGCACAGGGTGGGCACACAGATGGCCACACTCCAACCACAGGGAGAGTGGGGGCATTTCACATTTGCAATGTCTCAGATCAATTTATTTCTAGGTTCCAGAAAGTACAGCTATGGAGAGGAATCACAAAGTGTAGCTCAGAGAAGGGGGGGAAAGACAAGGAGAGAACAGGCCCAGAGTGTACAGCGAGGTGTGACAATTTTGAATTCCTGAAGAGGCAAGAAACAGGCACTAAAATAAGAGTGAGCAGACGTCCTATTTTGAGTGTTCAGCACTGATGGGTTGGACAAGCACTGCTGTGTGGAGAATCCTGTGTGACACCACCCAGAAATACAACTCCAGGCAGCAGGAGCTGAAGAAACACTCCCTCAGTTCACTAAGATTTTGGAAGTGACAGAGCATCAGTCTGGAGTGTGCCAGCCTGGTCAGGGCAGTGGGCACCACTGCCAGCTCTGCACACACAGCTTTGATCCCTGGGCAACCCAGCAGCCCCTCCCCACACATCCACGTCCTGAATCCCCAGTGCCAATTCCCAGCAGCCTTGCTCCTAGCATGGCCTCTCCTCACCCCTGTGCACAGAACACCCCAGAGCACTCCCAGCAAAGGCCTCCACACAGGGGCACCCTGGGACTCCTACCTGGGACACGGACTCCATGCAAAGGGTTAGAAAGCGCCATCCCAATCTCAGTCATCCCATACCTCTCCAGCAAGGTGTGCCCCGTGATGCTCTTCCACTTCTCCAGGACAGGCACAGGCAGGGCTGCTGAGCCTGACACCATTAACCTGCACAGGGAAAGGCCAGGTAAGACAGTATCTGAGAGCACCTTTGCTCCAGGGAATTTGCAGCCTGACACAGGGGCACAAACAGCTCTGTGTAAAACCTGCAGCCCCAAAATCCTTTTAACCAGCACCAAAGATGTTCCTTACATTCTCAGCCTGATATGGGGCTTAAGTTAACCAGGACAGCCTCTTCCAAGAGATCCTGGAGTACAAGCCTGGGCTGCAGGACAAAGCCCTCAGCCATGTGTTACACAGGGTGACACACAACGAGCCCCTTCTGGCTCTCCCGTGCAAGAGTGGCTCATAATTAAATAATGTCACCCTTGTTCCTGTCACAGAGCCACCAAAGCACAGCAGCCAGCACTGAAAGAGGTGATGCTGAAAGGAAAACCCAGAGCACCCAGCGAGCCAGCAGCTCACCCACCTGATGTTCTCCTGGCAATAGGCACGCACAAAATCCTGCACCTGGGGCTGGGTGAAATGCTCATCATAATATTCCATCAGCTTGGCATAGATGGTGGGCACTGCCATGAACACATTGACACGGGGAGCTTGGGAGCTCAGGAGCTTCTTCCACACCTAGGAAGGAAGGGAACACACAGGGATGAAAATACACCTTTGCTATCCAAGATTTCTTGGGAGTACAGCTGGAAGCTGTTGTGTGCCCCAATCCCTGCCCAAAACAAGATCCCAACTTTCATCATGCCCTTATTTCCCAAGGCACAACGTTCATCTCTCATCCCACCAGTGGATCCCCCACCCACCATCACTCTTGAGATGATGGAAATGGCATTTGTCAGTCCTGTCATGTTGCAGCCAAGAATTTGCTCACAGAGATGGAAGCTTGTGGCAGAATCAGCTCATTCCCCTATCATGCACAGTTCCTCAAAGGCTGCACACAGCCACCAGTTTTCCAAAGTATAGGAGCTCTTCTTTAGAAAGACACAGCTCACACCTGATACACAACACACAGCTTGGAGGCAATGGACTTCAGCCTCTGAGGCAAAGCTGGGAAGAGGGAGATCAGGCACTGGGAGTGAGACTTCATGAAAATGGTGAGGTGCTGTGAGAGAGCCGTGTCCCTGGCAAGCTCAGAGGAGCCATCAGAATGCACAGGTAAAGCAGGGGCAGCAGGAGACAGCAGCAGCTTTTCAGGAGGGCCACCACCCCAACCACACTCTTCCTGAGAGGAATGTTCCCTGTGGGAATAATGTTCTTCAGCTGCAACTCCTGCTGACCTGTGGGAACCATGAATGGGGGCAAATTCCAGCAACCCCCATTCATAGGGGGGTTCACCCCCATTCACCTCAGTGAGCCACGGCTCAGAGGCACACAGTCACACCTGAGCCCACTGCTCCACACCTCAGCACTGTCCCTGCCAGGTAAGCTCTTCCCAAGGCAGGAGGGAAGCAAAGCCATCAATAAATCAGAGCCCTCTGTCCCCTGGTCTGTCCCTGCCCCCGGTGACAAACGCGTTCCCTAACAGCTCCTGACACCGAGCGCTGCCCGGCACGCTCAGCTGCACACGAGCCAGGCCTTGATTGAAGGTGAGCCAGGGATTCTCCTTCATGCTGTCACTCTGCCCCTTCCCTCCGTTCTGCTCGCTCTGCTCCCTTTCATCCCTTTCTCCTCCCCCCGCAGCTCACACTCCGCTGCTCCAGAACAATCAGCTCCTAAAAAACCCTTCCAGCACCGGGGGGTTGTGGTTAACAGAGCAGGACATGTCCACAGAAGCACTGTCCCAGCCTACAGCAGGGAGCTCACGCTGCCCCCAGCCCAGGGCTGGCCCTCGGTGGGGAGAGATGAATGCACAAGGTGTAAAGGCACTGCACACCCCGGCAGGTGGGGCAGGAAAGGAAAGCAGAACTGGGATGTGACTTCCTGCACTGATGGGTGATACATCCAGAGAGGGAACATTTCAGTCCCTGCAGAAACCCCCCTACCAGCCAGATTAGGTAAAATTGCATTTACAGGGTCTAACCTCCTCTGTGTTTGAACTGATGCCTTGAGAGGCTGGTCTGGAACAGAGACCAGACAGAGCTAAATGGACAATAGAGGTATTTACTGAAAGGCCTTTAAAGGACACACTTTGGGCAGCACAAGAGCCTGGCCAGGGCTACACCCAGGTTGAATCCAAGATGGATCCCACTCTCAAGTTTTTACACTTTTATAAGTTTTGGTTCATCTACACATTGGGTTCAGTTGCCCAATTACAGTTCCAGGTCATGAAGTCTCAAGCCCCTGCCTTGCTCCCTTCCCTTCACAGCTGTTTGTGCATTATGGGAAAGGTTGTCCTTGATTCTCCAGCTGGGAAGGGATTGTTTTGTCCAACCACCCTGTGAGGAGACCCTACTAACACCTCATAGGAAGTTTCAGAGTTACGCACCAGGCAGCAGAGAACCTGAAAAATAGATAAGCTAAAACCCACGGCATCATTTCCCAGCCCCTTTTCCCCCAGTATCTTTCCCATTCTAGGCAGCAGAGTGGAGAGGGATCTCTCCAAAGCCAGGGTTGGATGATCTGCCCTCCTCAGCCTGGCGCTCCCCAGAGCCATTGCTGTGGGCAGGGAAGGATGGCAAGCAGGGACAGGACTGTGCTGAGGGGATTGAAGGGAAACAGATGCTCAGGGGTTGTTCAATCCTTGCTGTGTGATTTTGTTTTGCCTTCCCGAGTCCTGAGCAGCTGTGGGAGCGCAGGCAGACTTCCAGTCTGGCCACGCAGCCAGACTTTGGATCTGAAAAACCCCAAACCCATCCAAACAGAGCAAGTCTCCCTTGCACCCCAGAGTTCCCTGTCCCCACATGCCAGCTCAACTCCTGCCTTAGATAAAATCCTGTACTGCAGCCACAGGAGCAGCTTTTCCATGTCAGTCCAGCTCACCCAGCAACAGCCCCTTCCTGAGGATAAGCAGTTGCCTTTGGATTTGTGCCACCAGCTGCTGGGGTGATCTGCTGACAGCCAAACCTCTCCACCTGCTCTGCTCCTGCTCAGCCAAATCTGGATCCTTCCCATGTGTTTTAGCAGGACTGAGCCGTGGTACAAAGCTGGCAGCTCCGAGTGCTCCAAGCTGGCCGGAGGGCTTGGCACTGCCCAGCCAGCTGGAGCAGCTATTCCTGGCTTCCAACTGCAACTGCAGGCTTTGAGAGAAGGATCTGGGAAAGCCTTGTTACCTGGCACTAATCAATCAACCCCGTGCAAGGCCCCAGCTTTGTCCTTGCAGCACCTGGCACCCTCTGACAGCTCCAGCCTTGGAGCAGCACCGTCCCTGCCCCCTGGGTTATCCCCCTGTCACTGTCACTGTGTTCATTCCCTGTGCACAGGGCACTGGCAGCCCAATGCCCCCTTTTGTTGTGCTCACCTGATGCCTCCAAGTGCTTTTAAAGAGCCATGGATTTGGGAAGCAACCATGGCACCACGTGCCAGGGCTGCCAGGCTCCGCAAAGAAGGGGAGCTGCAGCCTTCCCATGGAATATGCTCAGGAGATGGATCAAGATTCCTTTTAAGATAACCAAGGGTTAGAAACAAAAAGTTTCTCACTGCAAGAAAGCAAGAGCGGATAGAGCTTCCCACCAGCAATAACAGCAGAGAATGCTTCAGGTCAGGGCTGCCTGTGCCAGCAGAGAAGTGGGAGACCTAATGTTCCCAAGAGCCTTCCTGTCAGCATGACATTCCTGATTTTCCTCCCCTCCCACTGCTCAAAAGCATATCATGAGCTGGCCAGTGGGATTTTGCCATCATTAAAGGAAAAAAAAAGGAGAAAATGACACCAGTGGGTACAAAACAAGCACAGCAAGGCACAGCTGGGAGATTTTTCCCACGTATTTTTCCCAGCACACAGTTGGTGAGTGAGGATGGTCAGTCCATACAGCAACCTTCCCAACCAGCCTCCAGACCTGCTAAGATCACCTGAAGGAAGAGATGTGAGCACAGAGGAGAAAAGGCAACATTTCCCTTTAAAGAGGGAGATGTACAATGCCCCAAACCAGCCAGAAACACCAAACCCAATACCTGGACTTCTTCTCATACAAAAGGAGAAGAAACAGTGGCAAACCCAGTTATGTGCTAAACCATGTAAGATTTTGGCTGATAGAAGATTCCCAAAACCAGCCAGAAGAACTACAAGCTGTAAAGGAAGCAAATATCAGCATGGATGCATGGATTTTTCCATCAGCCCACAAATGGATCACAGCCAGCCTGTGGTGCAGCCTCTATTGACAGACACAACAGCTCCTCTCTTCTACAAAATTATTGTGCCATTTTCAGTTGTAATTGAATCTTTTCAAACCTTTTCAACAATAACAATGCCTCTAATGCAAGGTTAACTCAGCCCTTTACTTCCCTCTTGCTCGGGGAGATGGGTCTGTGTTTAGCACTGACTGCTGCCATGTGGGAAGCACCATCGAGGAAAAGGGATGCCGGTGATTTTTGGAATGTCTGTGGGAGCAACAGGGCTGTGGCCAAAGCAGCTGCTTCTTTGGTGAGATCCTGTGCCAAACACAAGGGTGGGAAGCTCCTGTAACTCAACAGCAGCAGCCAAGGGACTGCAGGACCACGCACACACATCCAACACCAAATTATCCCAGAAAAGCAGATGGGCACACGAGGTAGGAGAGCACCAAGGGGAGCTCTGCGCTCTCCCAGGGACTGAGGCTCCAACACTTCACGACCAATATGCAGAGAGGGAGAAACATTCTTCTCTTCAAAGAGAAATCAGGCCCTCGGTGGCTTCGTCTCATGTTTGTTATAACCCCAAACTGTTTGTGCTCTGTGCGACTCTGGTTTTAATCATTTATTCATCAGCACAGTTTGATGGCCCCTCTGCATTCCAGGCTGAAGCTTTTAAACCCTTCCTATGCTGGAGGCATACTGAAAGGAGCAAGTGCTTTCCCTGGGACCTGGAAATATAAGTAAATATGACAGGCTCTGGTTCCATTTTTTATATTTCCCCACACACATCAAAAGCCATTACTTGGGAACAGATGCTGAGGACAGACGGCAGATCTGGGGAGATGGGAAAGAAAACCTCTAACTTTTTAAAGCCAGGTCTGTGAGAAGTGATCAAACATAATCCATTCACTAGTGACCTGCTCCTCCCTCCACCGACTCCTCTTTGAGTCTGAAATAAAATTACTCCTCTGAAGCCTCCCATTAACAGATGAAAAGACTTTCAGCCTCTCTCCAGCTGAAACTGGATGGGGGCCGCGATCCCCAGCGTGCCTGGGTACTGGAGCTCAGGCTCCTCTACTTGGATTTGCTTTTCTTTTAAAAATAAACCAAAAGAGCTGCCCAGAGTGATGTTTGCAGAAGTGACAGATCCAGGGGAGAGGCTCGGTGCAGTGCACGCTTCTCCTTCCCGGAGGCAGCAGCGACTGCCAAGCCCTGGATGTCCCTGTGCAGCCCAGCCAAGGTAGACAGCCCCAGCACCCAGCCCAGCCTGGCTCACACACACCACACCAGTGACAAGGACAAAGTTTGCTCCCAGACACAGCCCTGGCCTTCAGGAATTCAGGGCTGTGAGCACGTGATGCAGCAGCACCCTGGAGCAACACCTCCCACTCATCCTGTGCCAGGCCTTCAGCTCCCTCCTACCACGGGGACAAGGTGCCACGGGGGACAGGACACCAGGGAAAGCTTGTCCTGAATCACACACCACCTCTGGGCACACAGCATTCCTATTTCCCTAGAAAGAAGGATCCAAACAAGATTATTTTGATGGCTTTGAGTGTGACATTGTAAAACAGGGCATGGTTTTTAGAGGGCTTGATCCTTGGAGCACCTTAAGTCAGACATGCAGCGAGGCTGGCACTGAAACAGCAGCTCCTGGAACTGCAGGGCAGGAAATCTGCATCTTGGCATATTCATCATGGAAGGGGTTGCAGGGCACAGCCAGGGCTGTCACTGCACAGGCAGCACATCACAGCTCCAAGCAGCCCAGCAGAGCTGAGCGGGCAGCACACGCCACAGCTGGGTCACCCGGAGTGGAGATTTCCATCAGCTTCTCCCATCACTCAGCACTGCAAGTTTCTTCCTTCAGGTTCTTCAGTACTCTTATTTCCCACTCTGCACAAGAGGCTGGAGGATCCCCCAGGATCTGTTCTTGTGTTTATCAATGCAGAGAGCTGACAGGGAACCTTGTGCCATTAGAATACCTTCCCCTCAAGGCAAGATCAGGGGTGTCCAAGGCAGAGAGAAGCTCTTCCTGTTGTTCAAGCCCAAAATGGATCCTCTCTGTCCAAAAACCTCAGCAGAGGATTCTGTAAAATAGACACTGACCTCACCATTTACTCCAAAATGCTCCTGTCCAAGGAGTGCCTGGTCTGGAATGGGGACACCAGGGTGTGACTGTCACAGCAAGCACAGGGGACACTTGGCTTCCCCAAGTCTGTCTCTCTAGACTCACTGACATTTCCACAGAGCAACAGTCCCACCACAGGCTGTGCCTCAACTGATGCAGGGAGGGAGATGGAGGGAGGCAGCCACAGGGAATGGATGCTCCAGAGGGTGCTTGGTGATGCTCAGAGCCTTCCACAAGCACTTGGCCAGGAGGAGAAGGCTCACCCTGCACTCTTTCCTTAACAGAGACATTCACCTCTTCACCTCTGTCACCAAAGTGCACAAAATTTGTACAACACAGCACCTTTAAAATCTCAGCTCCTGGACAAGAAATTCCTACTCCAGCATCTGGGACAGGTCAGCAGCAGCTGAGAAATGCAAACAGGAACAGTGCAGCTGGAAGAGCAAACTCAGCCTGGGAGCAGGTTATGGAGGGAGGATCACACAGGGATGCTGAGGCTGCAGCTTGCTCTGGCTCCAGAGGAGGTTTCTGCCCTCACACTTCTCACCCTTGAAAACCAATGAAACAACAAACCAGTAACACCACGGCCAGCCATGCCCCACACAGCTGCTGGCAGCACAGCCCTCGGGCTCACTGCTGTTCTCCTGCCTGCTCCACACCCCCCTGTGCTGAAGTGTCCCCCCACAGCCATCCCTGCCATTCCCAACCCCAGAAGCACAGACAGGAGCACTGGGTGTGCTCCCAGGGGCTCCCTGTGAAGACACTGCACCCCAAGGAGCTTGAGCAGCAGGGGACTCAGTACATCACGTACGAGTTGACTAATTCTGGAAACTGAGGGTCCATTTATAAACCCTTTATTAATAAATGATTAATAGATGCAGCCATATTTTTTAATAACTTGCAATAAAAAAATGCTACGAAAAGCTTAAGCAAGACAGTCTTAACAGATGGTGTTATAAAGTGAATTATAACATGTACAGTAGCTAGTGCAGCGTAATGGATGTCCTCATTTAATAAAAAGAATCTGATTTTATGCAGCAACTTTCACGCTTGAGGCACCTCAGCACACTTTAATGAGTTGTCATGGCCTCAGCAGTAGCCACAGACATCAGATGCTGTTTCAGTGAGGGAAAGGATGTTGGTCAGGACACTGTGCTACTCCAAAGTCCTGATTTTTAACCTTTCCTTGGACAGCTCCCAAAAACAGACATAAAGGTCTGAAAGCTGCCACCTCCTACCCCTGCACGGCGGGGAACAACAAGCAAGCTGTGGTCTGGGGCTGGGAATGTCTTCTCAGGGAAAAAAAAAAAAAAAAAGAGCATTATTCCCACCACCAAAACCAGACTGCCATCTGTATCCACGACTATAAGGCATGCCGCAAATTATGTAATTTAATAAACACTGTAATAATAAAGTATTTATTTTGTATAATGAAGTGTTAGTGATTAGAAACCAAACACACATCGGGCGTGCTGCTGCGGTTTCTCTTGAACCTTTGCCAGTATCACTCAAGGCTAAATATGTCTGCAGCAGGTTGAGAGTAAGTTCCTCGCCTTGTTTTGATCAGCCTGTCAAGTGTTTTAGCTGCCAGTCGAGTTTCTTTATATCACACTATAATTGGCTGCTTTCTCAAGGTGCAGCCAAGGAAAAAAAGCACACGGCAAAACTCGGGCTCCTTTGGCAAAATCCTCCACTGCTGCTTTGCTGCAAGCTGATTGCAGTAGCAAAGGGCACTTTGTAAACAGCTGGTGAAAATAGAGTGGAACTGAAAGGCAGCTTGCAATAAACTCCAGGAGAAAGCCTTATTTACCCTCCCGTGCTCGCTTTGGAGTGTCGATCAAACCACTTGCGGCTCCCACGGGAGGCCCTCGGAAAAATAACGGGAATAAAAGAAACCAGAGAAGCAAATGCCGTCCTGCAGAGCCCCCGGGAGCCCCGCCCGGCGCCTGCCGCCCTCCGCGCCCAGGTTCAGCTCCAGGGTCAAGCGGCCGCCCCCGGCGCTGTCCCCGCGTGTCCCTGGTGCCACATCTGGGGAGCGCTTGGATCAGAGCAGGCAGGAGGGGGGTCCCGCTCCCCCACCCCGATCCCATCCCTCAACGTCGGCTCATTGATCCGCGTTCGTCGGGAGGGAGCGGAGGAGCACGCAGGGGTGCGAGGGAGCATCAATCACCGGTGGCACAGGATGTGGAGCACCGCGCCCTCCAGAGGCTCCGCTCCAGCCTCTCCGCGCCCGCCCCGCCTCTCAGCGGCACCTCCGGCACAGCCCTGCTGCACCCCCAGCCTCTGGGGTCACCCTAACGGCGGGGAGGACAATTTGGCAGCAATCACTGGGGTGAAAGCACGGGCGATGGCAGCCAGGGACCGTCCTGCCCTCTACCACAGCATCCTGCCAATTTACTCTGAAAGCACAGAGCTGCCCCACTGAGATTCAGGGGCTGTCCCCCCAAAAAGGATCAGTGCTCAGGTGTCAGAGCCCCCTGACAGAAAAGAGAAGTGTGCATTTTCTGTGGCTGCTGCTCTGAGAAGCAGAAATGAGCCGTGAAGAATCACCCGGCCCTGCGGTGGCTCTGGTCGGAGCTGGGCCTGCCTTCACCTGGCAGCAGCACAGCCAGAGGCTCCCAGGTGTATCCCACACCTGTGCACTTTGTCCTTCCCATGGGACAAGCCTTCCCAGCACGTGGATAAGCACAGACAGGGAGAGCAGCCCGGGCAGGTACCCAGCACGGGCTCCTTTGGCTTTCCCAGGGAGCTCTGCAGTGACAACAACACCTCTGTTTCCTTTCTGCTCTGAGCAGCAGCAGCACCCGAAAACCCAACTGTCCCTTAACAGTGACACTGCAGACACCACCCAGGACACTGGGAAATGTAGATGGACAGTAGGGCTGGGAAACGTAGAACCTGTTCCACCTTCACTGCTGCCTGTCCCTTCCCCTCTCCCCACGGTGTGCCACTGCTGCAGGGAACAAAGGAGCAGCAGAACACTGGCACTGGTGTTTCCTGGCTCAGATAGAAAACAACATTTTAACAGCATCATTCCAGTAAGGTTTCCCTCCTGACACTTTTCCTAAAAGCTGCAAGAAGGTCTGGATCTGGAAACTCACTCTCACATCACTGAGTCCAACCTGACAGCTCTGTTAACTCTTGTTTCTCCACAGACAAGAGCCACCTCTCCACGTAAGTGACAAAAACCAGGATTTCCCTTACCTGGGCTGCAAGAAACTCAGAAGGCTGTGTTCTGTAAAACACTAAGGATGTAGGACTGGAAGGGGAACATTTGGAAGGGGCTGCCCAGAGAGGTGGTGGAAGCCCTACCCCTGGGGATGTCCAAGGAATGACTGGACATGGCACTCAGTGCTCTCAGCTGGGTTACAAAAGTGGCGATTGGTCACAGGGTGGACTTGGTGACCTTGGAGGTCTTTTCCAGCCTCAGTGTTTTGGGGATTCTGGGAAATGCAAGTCACTAAAGAATTCAGCAAGCAGCATACCACTAACACACAAGAGAAAAACCAGTAATTCCACCATTCCTGGCAGTAAAATAAAATTCACAACTCCAAGTCTGGATGGAAACACTCTCAGTGGGCACAGAAGGGTCCACCCACCCCCAGCCAGACCTCAGGGCTGGGAGGGGCAGAGCAGCATTCCCATTCCAACATCACACTCACACCAGCTGCACCCTCTGGAAGAGCACATATACCCCAGGCTGAGCACCCAAGCAATTCCCTTTGCTGTGAACCACCCACAGGCAGTAGCTAAAGGGCTGGAACTCCTTAGGAGCTCATTCCCAGAGCTGCTGTGAGTGCACTGCCCGGGTGCTGCTGCTGCTGGGCTCCCCTGGGCTCACCGTGTGCGCGCTGAATTCCGGGAACATGACGCACGTGGCTCCCACCCACAGCGGGCACTGCAGCTTGTTGATCACCCCGTGGACGTGGTGCAGAGGCAGCACGTGCAGGATCACATCCTCCTTCTTCCACTCCCACTTCTCAACCAGCCCCGTGGTCTGCAGGGGAAAACAAACAGCGCGGCCTTAGGGCAGGAGGAAAGATTTTCCCAAGGTATTCCCAAGTTACTCAACCCCCAAATTCCCTGGCAGGAATGCCAAGCCTGGGCACAAAATCTTTCCTTCAGGATCAGCAGGAGAAAAATTCCCACCACAACAGCAGAACACAAGAGGAACACCTTCAGCATGTTGTCAAAATGGGTCTTTAAATCAGCAAAGCCTTTCCTTGTTACTGAGAAGTATCAACAATGATTTTAAGTAGGACATACAAAAATATTAATCTACTGCTGCACATGCAGATTTAGCAGAAATAGTAATCAAAAAGCTAATTTTCCCAGAATTCTGTTGCCATAGTTAGGACACTGATGACATCAGGCTTTTAGCACCTGTAAGGGATAATCAGTAGGAGCAGGAAATTGCTGATAAACAGAAAGTAGGTTTCATGTTAGTAAAAAATTATGAGAGCATCAAGCTTCCAAAACACTCTGCTCTGAAGGGATAATTATCTGAAGGGATAATTATCAGGTTTCTGGGTCAACAATGCCCTTCAGAGCCCAGTGCTGGCAACTGCAAAGCTTATTTCCAGCCACCTAAAAATAAGAAAAGCATCTGAGCAGTGGAATTTGGTCGTGTCTCTCACAGGAACCCTCTTCCACAGCTTTCAGGCTTCCTGCAGGGCAGCACAAAGGATGGGGACTGCTCAGGCCACCCCCCAAATAATCAGCATGCTTGTGAGGGAACAGATTCTTTGCCCAATATAGCCAAGCCCTGGCTCCATCCGTCAAGGCTTTCATTCCTGTCGGGACCCTGCAGGATCTGAGCACCCCGAGCAGCTCTCAGGGCACCCCTGCATTCCCTGCCCTCCTTCCCTAATGGCAGCAGTCTGGCAGTTGCAGGCACTGATAACCAAGTGGTGAGGCAGTCAGCAGGCTTATTCAAACTTTTAATTCCTTTTGGCTCCGAGAGCTAATGGATTTTTTTGCCTTAGGGATACAGAGCTGAATAATGCACAGGCTTCACACAGCACTGGGCTGGGCTAAGGTATTTTCCAATTAGGAGCAAAGATTCTCCCCTAGTCAGAGGGCAGAAAAGCAAACTGCAAAGAAATCAGGTTTTTTTACAACAGGTTTCATCCATTCTGCTTTTCAGGAAAGCAGGGAGGAGAATCCACCTGCCTTGGGATGCAGCTGCAGCATGAACAGGCCAAGGCTGAGAGCCTCACACGCTGCTGTGTGCTCACCTTCCAAGCGTGGAGGATTCCAGAGCTGCAGCCCCACAGCTCTCAGCAGGAATTTGGCAATGGAAAGGTGTTTGCAACCCCAAATCCCCTCCAGATTCCAAGACTTTGTACCTTGGCAGGAGCCTGGCAAGGGGGCAGCAGCACTCACCACAGCCTGCACGTTCTCGTGGGTGCTGAGGACACCCTTGGGCCTCCCCGTGGTCCCGCTGGTGTAGATGATCATGGCTCCTCTGTCCTTCCACGAGGAACAGCTTGGCAAGGGCCCCTCCTCCGTGGCTGCAGGGCTCGTGGATCCACCACCTCCAGAGCTGGGAAGTGGCAGCACAGGGACTCCCAGTTTCTGGGCACTGGGGGTTATTTTCCCCAGGAACTCCTCAGCTGCGATGAGCAGGGCGCTCTGGGAGTCCTGGATCACGTACTCCAACTCAGGCACCGGGTGCTTCCTGTACAGGGGCACCGCTATGGCCCCGCTCATCCACGCAGCCCACTGGGCCACCACGTAGGAGGCATCGTTGGGGCACAGGAAGGAGATCCTCTCCTCCTTCAGGTCCCTGCTGGGGCACTGCAGGACCCTGCAGATCTCCTGCGACAAGCGGAGGCTCCGGCTCAGCAGGTCCCTGTACGTGTGCTCCCCGTTCTGGTCAACAATGGCCACTTTGTCCCCAAAAGCCGGGGCCCTGGTGAACACAGGGGTGATGTCACTGCTGCAGGTGGCCCAGGCTGTGTGCAGAGCCCTGTGGGGACGGCCAGCCCTGCTCCCATCGCGTGTGCAGCGGGACAGGTCCCGCAGGAGGCGGCAGAGGGGCCGGCAGCGCTGGGGGAAGAGCAGGGGGAGCAGCATCCTGCCAGCACGGCCGGGCTGGAGCGACTCTGCAGGAAGCAATGATGGCACATCAGCAGGGCAGGGATTACCCAGGGGGTTATTCCCACCCAGGCAAAGTGGCAGCCCTCATTTGAATAATATCCACTGTATTATTTATGTCCCTGCCTCAGAGTGCCACATCCTGGGCAGCCTGAGCATCCCTGGGTCCTGCCACGATGGAACAGGAGCAGAGATCCTTCCCTGCACAGCTCCCAACCCCTAAAACCCAGCTCATTTAAATGATGAACCAGCTTTCACAGAATCCCAGAATGGTTTGGGTTGGAAGGGACCTCAAAGCCCACCCAGTTCCACCCCCTGACACCTTTTAGTGTCCCAGGCTGCTGGCAGGCAGGGGTGAAATGAGAGGGGCTTTAAGGTCCTTTCCAAGCCGAGCCATTCCACGATTCTGTGAAGAATCCTAAACCCCTTGGTACAGCCTGTGGTACACACCCTCTCCATACAGCAACAGAGAGCAGAGAGGAGAGGAGAGGACAGGGCCGTGGCAGGAGAGAGAGGGATTTGCTGCACAGAATCCAATCAGCACCAAAACATCCCCAGAGAGGTTCCATGACGAGAGGAAGCAGCCAAAGGCTGACAAGCTCTCACTCTCCGAGAGCGTCCGTGACACTTCCCTGACGCCGGCAATAACAACCTGATTTTCCCTTTTCTTTTTGATAAATGCCTATTAGTGGAGCAGCTCAGCTCCAAGAGCCTCCCAGCCCAGCTCCCCAGTGTGGGGAGGAGCTGGAACAGAGGGGATCCAGCCCAGCAGCTCCCCAGGGCAGAGCTGATCAGAGCTGAGCTCCCCTAGCTCAGGCTGCACAAGTTTATTTTCCGTGAGCGCTGCGGTCGCTCCCCTGCACCTTCGGAGCATTTCCCCACCCAGACACTGGCCCTGCTCACATCTTCTTTTGCAAATCAACCTCAATTTCTGCTTCTGCAAAACAAGCTGGTGATTTAGGGTGGAAACATCTGGGGGAGCAGAGAGGCTGCAGCCCCAGAGCGGGGTGAGCGTGGGAACTCCCGACATTTGCCACCGGCATGGAAAAAAACAAAGCAGCTCAAGGCAGAGCTCGTGTGACATCTCTGCATTGCTCTGGAGAGCCTGAAATGCAAAAACCCCAGCTAACTCTCACCCTAAAGTGAACCTGTGGCCATGGCAAGGTGTCAATGCCCTGAGCATGATGAGGGGCAGCAGCTGGAAGCTGCTTTTGCCCAGGACCAGCGTGGCCAATGCTCTCAGTGCTCTCACTGCTCCTCCAGCTCCTTCCAAAAATCAAATTACCCCGTTCCCAGCAGTCTGTGTTTAATGGAGCAATTCACAGCAGCACCTCCAACCAGGCCTGGGAATGCTGGGTGTTCCAGAGCTGGGCTGCAGACACGTGGGGTAAATCCAGGGGCTGTTTGCCATCCCCTCCTGCTGCTCAGGGATCACTGGTGCCACAAGCTCCAGCACAGCACACCTGGAAACAAGATTTGTCCCTGGATCCCACAGGAGGCTGAGGGCAGGGCAGAGATGTGGCTCTGCTGCCTTGGAAGGGAAGGTTCAAATCTCCTGGAAGGGAAAATCCAAACCCTCCTCCTCCTCCTCCTAAGGCTGAAGATCTCAAAGCAGCTGGGGGGCTCTCCCCAGCTCCCAGCACAACAAAACCAGTGCAAACTGGGAGCTGACCCACTGCACAGCCCTGGGCACTTTGTGCCAGCCCCCTCTGCATTTTCTAATCATAAAGGGCATAAAATGCATTCCCTGGAGGAAAATGATCCTTGGAGTTACTCTGAGCTGTTCCAAAGTGAGTTATTACAGGAATAATCATGGCTCCAGCTGTGACTGGGTAGCTGCCAGGGTGAGCCTGACCTGCAGGACTCCACCCTTTCGTCATTTACAAGCATGGGAACACAAAGGGATTCCTGGCTGTTTCTACAACAGAGATAAAAATACTGCGTTCTTAGAAAATCATAAAAAGTACTTTATTAGAAAATCATAAAGTAACTAAGGACTTGGGAAAGGCATCAAATAATACCTGAGATGCTGACTGTTCTTCCCTTCTCACAAAACAAAAAACAGGGAAAGGTTTGGATTGGAAGGGACTTTAAAGCCCATCCAGTCCCACCTTCCACTGTCCCAGGCTGCTCCCAGCCCTGTCCAGCCTGGCCTTGGGCACTGCCAGGGATCCAGGGGCAGCCACGGCTGCTCTGGGCACCTGTGCCAGGGCCTCACACCCTCACAGGGCTTTATTCTTCTCTCACTCCGGAGCAGATTCCCCCCCTGCAGGTCCCTGCCCGCAGCCAACTCACGGCACATCCCGGAGTAGGAACGGGCACAAACCGCGCGGAGCTTCCGAGGAACCGGGGCCGCCCCGCCGCAGGCCCCGCACCCAGCGGCTCCCGCGGGGAACGAGGGCCGGGTCCAAGCACAGCGGGCCGAGGGCAGCGCGTCCCGGCTTTGGAACATCCCAGGACCGTCCCGGAGCCGCCCCGGCCCCGCCGCCTCCCGCAGCCCCGCGGGGCCTCACCTGCCGCCGGGGGACCGGTCCGGCCGCGAACAGCTCCGGCGGGCACGCGGCGCCGCGACCCGAACGTTCCGCGCACGAACGTTCCGCCAGACCGCGCCTGATTTGTGGCGATTTTGCCCTAAAACGCCCACGGGGGGTGGGGCCGGGACTCCGCGGGGCTGACTGTGCCTGCAGCCCCCCGGAGTGTCACCCTCGGATGGCATGGCGGGCGGGTGTGGAGCTCCTGCTCTGCCTCGTGGATCCTGGGGCCATGGGCCTGGTCTGGGGGATTTGGGGATGTGGGGATTTGGGGGTGTGGGCAGGGGGCAGGCATGGACTGGGCTCGGGGAACATTCGCACATAGGCATCCCAGGGGCGCACAGAGATCCCAGAGATGTAGAGGCACCCAGGGGACACACAGACACTGTGGGGACACACAGCCACCCTGGGGACACACAGCAATGCAGGGCCGCACAGAGCTCCCATGGTGGCACCTTGCCCATGCCCCACCAAGCCGAGCTGCCCCGGCTGTGCCCAGCGGGCTGTGAAGCGGCACGGCCGCGGTGACCCCCACCCACCCCCCAGGTGTGTTTCCACCGGGGCTGGGAGCGGAAACAGGGCCGGGATCCCAGTGCTGGGGGAGGCACCCAATGCTCCTGCACCCAACACCTGTACCCAACACTCCTGCACCCAACGCTCCTGCACCCAACACCTGTACCCAACACTCCTGCACCCAACACTCCTGCACCCAACGCCTGTACCCAACAATCCTGCACCCAACAATCCTGCACCCAACGCCTGTACCCAACACTCCTGCACCCAACAATCCTGCACCCAACACCTGTACCCAACAATCCTGCACCCAACAATCCTGCACCCAACGCCTGTACCCAACACTCCTGCACCCAACAATCCTGCACCCAACATTCCTGCACCCAATGCCTGTACCCAACAGTCCTGCACCCAACACTCCTGCACAGATCCCTGCTCATGGCAGGGCTCTCCATGGCATGGCTCCCTGCTCATGGCATGGCTCCCTCCTCATGGCATGGCTTTACATGGCACGTCTCCCCATGGCACACCTCCCCATGGCTCATCTCCCCATGGCCCATCTCCCCATGGCCCATCTCCCTGTGGCCCATCTCCCCATGGCTCATCTCCCCATGGCCCATCTCCCCATGGCCCATCTCCCCATGGCTCATCTCCCCATGGCCCATCTCCCCGTGGCCCATCTCCCCATGGCCCATCTCCCCATGGCCCATCTCCCCATGGCACACCTCCCCATGGCACATCTCTCCACACAGGGATGAGCCCCTCCCCGGGGTGCGTGCCCATGGGGGAGTCTCTGCTGCCAACCCCCTTGTGGTGCTGCAGGGACTGGCAGGGACAGCAGGAACAGAGGTGGGGACAGCGCTGGGACACACAAGGATGAGCCAGGAGTGGCCCCTCCAGCTGGGACCCCTCTCCGTGGGGGTGACAGGGCCATGCTCCCCCCGAGGGCAGCAGGCGGCAGGGCCAGCTGGCCGGGATGTCACACACAGCAGATGTCACCCCCTGACACACTGTGCCACCCTGGCCCTGGCACCTGGTGCCGCTGGCCATCTGGAGCCAGCCATGTCCCCAGGGACAGTGCTGAGGGAAGGGAAGGGAAGGGAAGGGAAGGGAAGGGAAGGGAAGGGAAGGGAAGGGAAGGGAAGGGAAGGGAAGGGAAGGGAAGGGAAGGGAAGGGAAGGGAAGGGAAGGGAAGGGAAGGGAAGGGAAGGGAAGGGAAGGGGCTGCTCCCCAACCTCCTGGAGAGGGTTCAGTCCAGATGTGCCCTCACAGCTGGCAGTGGAAGCCGAGACCCGCGTGCAGCACAGCCCTGCTCACCCATGGACCCGGTCCCCAGGGCTGTCCCCAGGCTGCCACAGCGCCTTCCCAGGTCCCTCCCAGCCGGCTGTGAGCCCGCAGCCCTGGGGGGCGGGAGGGGTTTGTGCCTGCCCTCCCCGCCCTGCTCAGCTCGGTGGTTAATTATGGAGCCAGCAGAAAGCTTTTATTGCACTGGAGTTTACTTGTGGCACATCCGTATTTATTAAAGGAAAAAAAAAGGGAAGTAATTACTGGGGTGGTGTAAACAGCACAAACACTGTGGGGCTGAGGGAATGCTCAGGGTGACAGTGAGTTCATCCCAGTGCTGTGGGATGGGATGGAATAATGGGATGGGATGGGATGGGATGGGATGGGATAATGGGATGGGATTTGGGGCACTGGCAGCTTCCACCGTGGTGCTGCTTGGAATGAGGATGCAGCACAGCAAGGTGGGAGCCCGTTCATCCCACTGGGACACCCCAAAACCATGGAAGGGTGTCCCTATCCCCATTCTGCCCCAGCCCAAGGAGGGACAGAGCCAGAGCAGTGCCAGGATCCCCGTGGCTGCCCAGGAGGATGTTGTAAACAAGGGGCAGTGAAACGTTTGATCTCCATCCATCTGCTGGCCCCTAATCCCCACCGAGGCCCTGGTCCCTTCCCAGCCTCCCTAAGCTGCTCCCTGCCAGGCAGTGAAGGTCACCAGGGGCTGCTGGCCCTGTCCCCTGCCACAGCCACACGGCATCGGCACCACCCGAGGCTACCAGGGTCCTATGGTGGCAGAAAGCAGATCGAGTGTCCCCAATGGTGGCAGAAAGCAGATTGAGTGTCCCCAATGGTGGCACAAAGCAGATCGTGTCCCCAATTCGGGTTTAACCCTGTGCTGCTGCTCCCGTGGCAGGGTCAGGCTCTCCCTGTGTTTTCCCCCACATTTCAGAGGTCCCTCCTTGCCTGCATCCCTCCCGGCAGGAGCATCCCCGAGCTGCTGCAGGCACTGCCCGCGCCCGGCGGGGCCGCTCTGTCCCCAGGGCCCTGCAGGGGACACGATTGCCATGGGGACTCCCCGGGGACAGGAGCAGCTCGCAGTGAAGTGGAGCCGTAAGTGGCTCCTGCGTCACGTGGCGAGGATAAGTGCAAAATGGCCCTATTATGATAATTGCCCGGAATGATGATTGATGGAGATTAGCTGCTTATCTGAGGAAATGGCAGGCGCACGTGTGACACGGGCAGGCCGGGGACAGCCACCGGGCCACGGGGGCACGGGGCATGTCAGGATGGCACGAACTGTCAATGCCATCCCAGGAGCTGCCACATCCCCGGGCTGGGACGTGCCACCACCCAGGGACACCGGGAAAGCGTGGCAGGAGGATGGGATGGGCCAGTGGGACCCGCTCACACCCCACCCTGCCCGTGGAGGGCTCCTGGCTCCTCCTGCCAGCTCCATGGAGACATCCCTGATTAGGGGCAAAGCTGTTAGCCAGGGATGGCCGCTGCTCTCTGCGTGCTCCTGGTGCCTGCCCCAGCACCCCCGTGCCTCCCAGTGGCTCCCAGTAAATGGCTTATTTTGGGAGAAACTGAGCAGGAACTGTTCCCTGTCTCCTGCCTGGTGATTCCCATCCCATTCCCTTGGCCTTAGGGGCCCTCTAAAGGCATTGGCACCAGGAGCATCCACGGTGCAGTGGAGGCACAAGCCACATACCCACTTCTACCTCCAAAAGGACACCCAAAGCAGGAGCCTGGGGAGGAAAAGCTGGGAAAGCAGGGCTGGCTGCCATGCCAATGGCTGGCCAGGATGGAGCCATGGCACGACTGAACCACCGGGGCCAGGATTTTGGCACGAGCTGGGGATGCTCCGTTGCACGAGGCTGAGATGGCCGTGCCAGGCGACACATGGCCAGAGGGCACCCCAAAACCCCCACCCATCACCACAAGTCCCTCCTCCGCTCTCCCCTTCCCAATTTCCCAGGCCCCCCTGTGCAGCAGACGGATGCTGGGTAAGAGGTGTGTCTGTGGGAGCCGTGCTCGCCACGCAGCGTCGCCGGTCTGTGCCAGCTCCTGCCATCCCTGCCATCCCTGCCATCCCTGCCATGGCTTCCCCACCGGGCTGGGGACACAACGTGGGGCACACAGGGCTGAGCCCCTGCCCACGACGTTGGCACCACGGACGGGCTCTGGAGGTCCAGGACGTCACCCAGCTGGCCTTGGCAAAGGGAAGGGGTCCCCGGTGGGTCCCCGCCACCGGGCACGGTGAAGCCAACTCCTTTCTCTGCCCTCTCCCCTTTTCCTCCCCCCGTTTGGCGCTTGGCAGCGGAGCCGTGGCGGCGGCCGGGGCGCGCGGTGCCGGGGAAGGGCTGCCAAGCCTGGGCAGCCCCCCACGGCCCCCCGGCCCCCCGTGCCAAGGCTGGTGGCTGGCAGAAGGGCTGCCTGCGCCTGGCAGGGCTCCGTCAGCTGCGGGAGGATCCCTGTGCCGCGCTCGCTGCCAATTTCCCTGCGAGCTGGCACCGCAGGCGGCTCCGGAGGCACCGGCAGAGAAGGCTGGGGAGGACGGATTGTGAAAGGGAGAGAGAAGAGAAAAAAAAAATAATGGACACATGCCATCGCTGGAGCGGCGAGGCTGCCAAAACGCCAGCAGGCAGCGGGGGCCAAAACCCAGCGGCGGCGGAGAGGAGGCTCTGGCAGCGCATCCCGGCACGGGCACATGGAGGACGGGCAGCGAGGAGGAGGCACAGCGTGGCTGAGGCAGGATGGGCAGCACATGGAGGATGGGCAGCGAGGAGGAGGCACGGCGTGGCTGAGGCAAGATGGGCAGCACATGGAGGACGGGCAGCGAGGAGGAGGCACGGCGTGGCTGAGGCAGGACGGGAGTGAGGAGGAGGCACAGCATGGCTGAGGCAGGACAGGCAGCACATGGAGGAGGCACGGCGTGGGGAGCCAGAGAGGACAGAGGTATGTGCCCTCGTTGTGCAGCGTGTGCGTGTGCGTGCATGTGTCTGTGCCAGGCTCCGCGCAGCCTGCCCGCGGCCTCCCTGCCATCCCTCC